TATATATATATATATATATATACACACAAATATATATATATATACATAATAAAATAAAATAAATAAATAAAAAAGCACAAATAAAAAAAACACAAATATATATACATACATACATACATACATACATACATACATACATACATACATACATATATATTTAAAACGGATAATTTAACATCTCAACATTTCCAAATCTCACTGAATCTAGGCTCTACAGAAGGTATATCTTGCATATTATTGATCTTGTGATTTCAATTTATAAAAGAATAATTAGTAATATAAATAAGCAATCCTCAAGGCATCCCTGGGAGCATGATGAATCTTGGCTTATGGAACAGTTGCCTCAGAAACACTTTCAATGATGATGGAGAAAGTCATATAAAGAAAGGCTGGAAACCGATATTTTCGATGATACATGTGTGAATCACACAGCAGGCAGCACAACCTTTAAAAAGGCATTACATTCTTAGCCCAGGATGCCTCTCTGTCAATAAATGGAACTGATAATTATGGGTTGTTATACAAGCATAAAAAATATCTTTTTATCTGCTCAATTAAGTCGGGGACATATTTAAAACAACAAAACATTTAATGACTATTCTCACTATTTAATTGATTAAATGTTCCAGACATAGACTTAATTGCACCTTATTCATTTCGGGATGTTGCGAAAGAAGGGATCAGATAATCTCCATAAAGACTAACAGGAGAAGAGTTTCTGGAACAGGTTTAACTTGCCTGGCATTCCCAGAGAAGTGATTAGCAAAACTAATTTTTGTTTCTTGAAAAACAAAACCTATCTAGCTTAAATATGCTCCCAAAAAGGCCATAGCAATTTTGTAAAAGTTTTTATAGTCCCTCGGAGTCTCCTATGGTCCCTTGCCACTGCGATTCCTTGGTGATCGCAACGAGCCGCCCCTGCGGCGCGTGGCATGGAGCTTCCCCCCCTGCGACCGCCCAGCCACTTGGAGGCTCTCTGCTAGCGCAGCAAGCACAGCCTGTGTAATCTAGCAATTAGAGGCGCGAGTGAAGAGAGGTGGTAAGTAGAAAAAAACAGTTGAAATTAAGCGAGTCTTCGAAGTGAAGGGAAAGTCAGGAAAGTACTCCTTCTGGGCCGAAGACTGATGTTAATCTGGGGAAGTCAGGAGGAGGGCAGCGGCGTGGCCTCAAGATTTAACTCAGTCTCCAGGCAAATGGGCCGTGTTAACATCCAGATGTGACTCCTCCCATGCCCCCCTTCAGAGACACTAAAGTAAAACTGAGGTTTGGGCAAAATTTTCTGTCCAACCATTGCTTCCGTGGAAGTATATCATATTTTTGGGATTATAAAACAATAGCAGTAGACTTAGCAATAGCAGTAGACTTAG